TCGTACCCCTCCTCGTCCTCCCTCGTATATCTCATTTTACGTCTTATTCTCAGTTAGTTTATGGATGCAATGTGGCATTCAAGTACGCAAATCGCATGCCAAAGTCAACGTAGCAACGGGAGCCGCCCAAGTGCTATATATATAGCATATATAAGTATCAGTCTATAGTAATATATGTATTTGCACTGAGAGAAATTAACTAGCTCTTCCATAGTCGAATCATGTGAGAAAATTTGTTAAGCAGAGATTAAAATCTTTTTGAGTCTGAAAAAAAACGGCTTGAAAAAGAATTTCCATTATGTAAACAATAAATAAAAATATAATTAAACAAAAAAAAAAAAAAAAAAAAAAAAATTAAAAGAAAAATATTTTTATATATCTTTTTATCTGTCTACAACTTATCACAAAATAGATAACATGTTGATTAAAATAAATTAATTTTGTTATCTCTTAACTGAATAAATATTTATATGTAGCACTCAAATTTTCCGTAGACTTTATAGTTATATAGTATAATAACTCTATATATAAAATAATATAAATAAAAAATAATCAAAAGATATTCGTCAATTGTTTCTCTCAGTGCATGCTTGTTTGTATGTGTGCGCAGATATGTGTGCATGTACATATATACATATATGTATTTATGTTTGTCTCTCTTGGCACTCACTTGTGCGAAAATCACATTGGAGCCCGACTGGCGGGAGCCTAATTTTTTGCGACCCCTGCAAAAGGAGCAGGCAAAGCAGCAGCAGCAGCAGCAGCACTAGCAAACGAAGAAGAAGAAGCAGCAGCAGTTGTAGCATTTGCTATGGCTTAAAGTAGCTGGGAATGAGAAGTTCCCTCAACGCTTTTTGTTTGTTTTTTTTTTTTTTTTTTTTTTTGTTGGCAGCCAATCATAAAATGTTTTCTTGGCATTGGCCTCAAGTGCTGCCCGGAGGATGCGTAGACTGAGCAGCTCGAACTGAAAGGATATTCCCAACGTGACTCAATTGATAATCTTTGAACAGCATAAGTGAAACTTAATTAGAGCTAAGCTGTAAGCAAAGAGTCACAAGGCCTTTTAATTAGCTTCAGTGATGTTTATCTGTTGACATAATTTGTTGTCATTATGAATGGATGTGTGTGCGTGTGTATGGGTGGGTGGGTGTGAGAGAGAGTGTGCGTGTGGCTTCTTTCCCCTTTTCCACCTTGATGCAGTCTAATTGAAAATTACAGGGCCACTCAGCCACTCAACCAACAGCCACATCAACCACAATCCGCCCACTCAATCCATGCCACGCCCACTTTTCGCAAAGCAAACCTTCTACCCTTCTCAGTGGTTCGAAACGTCATTCGATTTGATTTGTTTGTTTGCTATTGTTTGTGTTTATTTATTGTGTATTTTGTTACTTTTAATGCATCTTTTATCTGGATTTTGCCATCAATAAGCCAGAGAGTGAATGCTCATTGTTGTTGTTGTTGTTGTTGTTGTTGATAGTGATACAAAATTTGTGCGGCATTGTGTGTGCCGAAGAGTTGCCCGAGTGACGACGTCTGCGTCTCAAAGTCTTGTTTACTCAAATTACAGCTGGGGTTATCTGCAGTTACATCCAGAGTGCCATTTCCCAAGTCCCAGTCTCAGTCGGAGCTGGCGAGTCAAAGTTCGCTCTTGTCTAGTTGTCTAGTTGACCCAATAGACTGCCAGCTCTCTCACACACTCTATCACTTGCTGTCTCTCTCACTCTCTCACCCTCTCTCTTCCTCTTTTTAGCTATAGCGTTTATTTGCTTTAGCCAGCTGCTTTGTTAATCTCGCTCTACTTTGCTTTTACAATTTGCATTTAGAAACTCCAGCGAAATCTTATCGCAACTGCCCAACGCGAAATGTTTACTAAATATTATAAATTGCTAGCCAGCGATCAGCTGTGCGATATATGTATAAAGCTAAAGTTGAATGACTTCTTAAATAGGTTAAATATATGTATCTATGAAAGGAAAATAAGCTTCTGATTATATCGCCAAGATTATGTGGTCGAACGATGTGTTAAGAGTGTAAAAGTATGGTAGTAAAAAGCATTTGAAAAGATTTTATCTAAATTACGCGGAGATTTGGAAGAACATAGGGCTTAAGCTCTTCAGCTGTGGAGGCTCTTGTAATATTCAGTTATATGATTATGTAGCATGATTTATATGATTTGTAAAGTTCGTAAGAGAATTTCCTTATAGATATACATATATATACCATACTTATAAACTATACACCATATTCCTGTGTTAAGCATTACATGACGAAGATTTTTTTACAATTTCAAATATAAATATTTTTTTTCTTATTATTAATTCAACTGAAAAGTCAACAAATTGGGTTCAATTGAGTTCTAGATTTACACACACATTCAACTATCATTATTTTAGATGTTAGTCAATGCCTCAGAATTTCCGCTGACATCAATTGTAGCTTCAGCTAATACAAATACGATTCAATTCACTATACCATCTGGTCGTACACCTAAAATGCATGAAATGAAATATCTAAAAATTCAACGATGAGTCATTCGCGTAAAAATCAAATGAAAGACCCCAAATACACAAAGGCCCAGACTCAGTGCCAGCAAATTGTCTGAATATACAATTTTGGGGGGCGTTCAAGATTTGCCAGCATCACTGGGGAACTAATGAGCATTAGCTATCACTAATGATCATCAGTGATCATTACAAATTAGTCAGCCAAAATGAATACACATTATGCTCACAAGCGCGAGAACTGATGATCATTAGCGATCATCAGAGATGACCAGCGATCATTTGTAATCATTTGTGATCATAGGCAAGTGATACGCATAAATGAATATATAATTCTTCGAAGGGAGCTCCAGATGGGCCAGCATCACGGTGTTCCAATGATCATCTGTGCTCCATGATGAGTAGCAGTGTTCAATGATCATTAATGATCAACACCTTTCAAAGGCAATCATCATCACAGCTCAAAGATGATCACCAGTGATCATCATGTGGCCCCTGGTCTTACACACAAAGATCAACTGAAATGTTTGTCACACCTTGTTGTTTTTTTTTGACGTCAACTTTAGCCGGCATTTTATGGTTGCTCTGATCTTGTACAGGCTCCTCCGCCTCATAGATTTCGTTCTATTTTCAGTCTGCCATGAAATTTGTGACATGAACTGGGCAGCAGAAGGCGGGGAAGGTGGATCAGTAGGCTGTTTTCTTTCATTGATGAGCCCAACATCTCGCAGAGGGAGGCATTAGAGCAGAGCAGCGCAGACCCCAACCAGCATATTGGGCATGGAAAATCCATTGGATCTCTCAGTGAGAGATTTATGCCACTCTCCGAATTATGCTTTGTTTACCTTGAAAAAGTTTCATCGTTGATTTTTCTCTATTTTTAGTTGCCCCTATACCACACTTGTATATATACACAGACGATGCTAGCTAGTCTAGCTGCTGTAGCTATGTTTTTTTGGCTTAATTAAAATCTGTGGGCTTTTGGCTTTTATTCGTTGGCCAAACTTTTGCGCATTTGAATTTAGGTTTTCTGCTTTCTATTACGTTAAATTTTGTGTTATTTATAAAAACGACTTTTTTATATTTATGATTTATCTTGCGTTATGTGATTTATAAGATATATCCGTCAACGGCAATATTTTATTTAGAGACTGCGAAAAAATCAATTTTCATTGGATGTGCGCAAAGAAATTGGCTTGGAAATTATAAATAATTCGAGCTAAGGAAATTTATTTGCTTGGATGCTCTATAAGTTCTTTATTTCTAACATTTTCTCTCCTCATATAATAAATTTAATAAATTAATATAATTTTATTTTAAAAGTTTTTTTGTTTCTTTACATTTTCTCTGTTGCTTCTCATTTCTTCGCTGTCTTTTTATCTTCTAGTCTTACTATTTAAACATCTTTTAACTTTACCTTCTAAGTTATTCAGATTATAATTCCGAACTAGTTAATGCATCAGCATCCATTGGATCTCTTCGCCTCTCGACTTTCTTCTTGTGAACTGAGCTCTTTAACTATTTAGAGACGAGTAGTTAACTTGAGCATATCCAATCAGCGGCCACGCCCACGGATCGTACGTGCCACAGCGCCCAAGCAGCTATTGAGTATCGCTTAGTGATGATTGTGAGAATCGTGCCAAGGTCTCAGATTGTGTTCGCTTTAACTACGTGCCTCGTTATCAAGCGGCAAAGCAACAGCTCCGTCTTGAACCGCTGGCCGAACACAATCGGCCTACAATCAGCCAGACAGATAGAGCCAAACAAGTTGTCAAGTGCTGCAGCGCCCACACCGATGCCACAATCGGTGGCCCACGCCACAAATAGTTGACAAACGAAATGCGGCAACTTTTGTTTTACAGCCGCAGCGGGTGTCAACGAGCCGCCTAGCTGATTGCACCTGCCACAGAGGTGGGTCAGCTCGGCTCATTTTCTATTTCATTGCTCCAAGTCGGCGCTGGCTTGTTAATGGTTTCTTGACTCTTGCCACTTGCCGCATTCTTGGCCGGGCTGCAGCAACTGCCTTGCTGGCAGTTGGACTCGGCCTCGATCTTAGCCCATTTTTAGTCACGCTTTGTTCAGCTTTTGGGCTTTTGGGTGTTGATTGATTTTTATAAACAAAACAACGCTAATGGAAAAGTCGGGTGCAACATTCTTTAGCTGATGCTGTGGCTGCTGTTGCTGTTGCTGCTGCTGCTGTTGCTAGCTGATAAACCCGGCTGCTGTCTGCAACAACTTGGTGGCATTTGCCCATATATGTGCCTACGTGCAGCATGTGGCATCCACTGCTGGTGAGGTCGCGCTTCGCTAATATGGAAAATGAAAACAGGAAAAATGCGTTTCAGATGCGTGCAGCAAGTTCTGCTGCCACTGCTGCCGCACTGCTGTGGCATGCAATTCCATTTTCCATTTTCCCCTCTCGAAAACTGTTGAAAGATTTATATTACATCAAGCACTTATCGCACTTACGTCTATAACTCACTTTTTTACTTACAGATTTCTTAAACAAATATTTTAACGACAGCAACTAGAAGACGAAGAAGAAGAAGAAACAGAGGTAGCAGAAACAATAAGAAACAACAACCACAGCAACCACAACGAAGCAAACGCAACAACGACAACAATTAGCACGAAACTTTCTAAAAAAAAAAAAACATTAACTTCACTTCATTTTTACTACTACCGAAACGAACCAACTGCAAACTGCTTCAAAACTAAAACCTGGCACAGATTTCGGCTAATGCAAATTGAGGTGAGTTTTTCCTTTGAATAAGTACATATATACATGTCTATATATAAATGTATATCTTTAAATTATGTATACTGAATTAATTATATTGTTTAATTTATTATTTTATTATTTATTTAAAAGGCTCAAGAATCACAATCATATATATTTATAACACATAATAATGCATGTTTATCACATATATAATGTATATTCATATATATATATAATTTTCGATAATTAATTATATAGATCATGAAATTATTTTGTGGTTTTTGTTAGTCTTTTAAGTTTAGAGATCGACCACACCACAATATGGACAGAAAGACAGACAATATGGACAGACAGACAGTCGAACAGAGCTAGATCGACCTCCTTTGAGGAATAGCTTGGCCACGCCCTTTTCAGCTTGTTATATGCATTTTAGCAAAATCAATATTCTATATATATATATATATAACTGGTAACTTTGTTAATCCAACTTATCTAATGAAGCTAATACAGGGTATATTCCAGTCAAGCTCCCCCTGTTCACTAACATTTCATTTTAGCTGATTACAAAGTGCTACCAAACTGCCATAAAACATAACTAAGTGATGGTAAAAAAATAGGTTTACGAGCTACTCTCCTTCAGTAGTGGCCCGCTCAAACTACCTCAGAAGTAGTTTCGTTTAACGACTGCCCAGCTTTGAATACCCTACAGTTTCGTTAGATATTAAAACAATATAATTTTCATAGAGATAACTTTTCTCTGCTGTTTTTTGTGGGGGGAATTGTGATTCAGCAAATTTGACTGCACGAACTTTGAATAGGCCTCGCAGTGCCTCTCCATGGTTTTTATGGATTTGATATTGTTGTTTTCTTCTTCTTCTTCTTGAAAATTTTTATGCCTCTGCCTCTGGCTCTGCTGCCTCAGACTATTTATGCGAGCGAAATTCTTTCTTTCTTCCATTTTATTTCTTTTCATTTGCTCGCAAACACAAAATAAAAATTGTGGAAATTACATAAAAGGCTCCACATTGGCGCAGTCTACATGACATTCTGTTATCCTTTGGCCGCCCACGCAAATAAACGGGAGTGGAAGCAAAGCAATCAGAGGGTGCTGATAGGCAACTTAAATGATAGACGAGCCAGTGCCCTGTATAGAGTGTGATACGAAGTCTGAAGTCTAATAAGATTTGCAAGCTAAATGAGAGATTGAAAGACATAGATGTATACAGGGTTGTCCATATTCGATTGACCCATCTGGCAGCCCTTTATCTTTTGACAGAGATGCCAGATTGCTCATTAACATACCGTGTATAGCTTTAGTCTAAGTAGACTTTTACCATGAATCAGTATACGCCATGCGAGCGTTTCCTGCATTCTTTCTTGCCTTCTGCTGCTTGTTAGTCTGGCATACCCCATGCTCTGTCTCTCTGGCAAGTTTTTACTTTATGCTGAATCGAATCGCCGTTGTCGTCAAGCACAGCAAAGTGTTAGCTGTGCAGATTCCTTGCTGGCACAGGACTCCTACGCACACGCGCCAACACACACACACACTAACACACACATACACTTTTATATGGCCAGACAAAATGGAGGCTGTGGCGCCAGAAAGTCGCGCCAGTTGAGTTTTTTCATGGCGGCAGCGTTTGCTGAGTTGACTTGACTTGGCTTTGTTAGCTGGGGCTGTGAATACCATATAGAGATATACATATATACATACATACATGCATATATGTATATACATATGATTAAAAGGGTCTTCAGTTAAGTTGTCAACATTTATTTTTTCTTTCTCTACTTTAGCTGCATTTGCTCAGTGCAGACGCTGCTCAAGTGACGTATACTTAATCTAGCTGACTGTAATTAATCAAAGCTAATTAAAACTTCAAGTCAAGATATCCCGCAGCAAGCATACCATTTTGCATAATATATAAATGTATATATTTGTATATAATAGAAAAAAAAATAGTTAGTCCTGCCATTTATACAACTTGGCAGGAGGATGCTGCTGCTCCTGCTCCTGCTCCTGCTGCTGCTGCTTGTTGTTGTATATAAGCAGAGCAGCGCAGCCATTGGTGGTCCTGGCCCACCCATTGGGTGCACAGTTGGTGGTTGTTGTCGCAGTTGCCCAAAAAATATACATATATATATTTGTATGCAAAGGAAAAAAAAAATCGACAAAGTGGCAGCTAGCAACTCCAACCCCCAAAGCTGTTGATCTCTGCACCCATCCCTCTTGCACGTGCAGTCGTTGCCCATAATTCGCTTTCAGCTTGAACGTTTTTTGGCTTGGAGCATGCGCAGCAGAGCTCAGCATCCCAGTTGGTGTTTCGTTCGTTTTTGTACGCCCGTTGATTTTCATATTGCTTACGACTTGTGGCATGAATGATGTTTGCATCAGAAGCGCACGATGTGTCGCCGGCGTAGCACATCATTCTAGGCCTAGCCTCCGATCCGGGCAGGACACAACGCCAGGCGCTGACATCATCATCGAGTCAGACAACAACAGCCAGTTAGCCAGCCAGGCAGCTAGCCAGCCTGTCAGCTAGCCAGCCCAGCATCCAACTCTGCATCTGTTCTTTCAGTTCAAGTTCAAGTGTTGCTTCAAGCAGTTGTCACGCGTCACCGTTTTGTGCCTTTTGTTCTTCAAACTGAAAAAAAAAGAAAACGTTGTTAAGTTATTGTTATTGTTGCCTTTACGCGTGCCTTTTCGTTTTAGTCCTTAACATCAAAGTGCCTTAAAAGTTATAAAAAAAAAAATTATTAAACAAAAATTATTAACTATTAAATTTATTCGCGTTTTTTGGTTGCATTTGTCGTCGTGTGCCTTAGAAATTTAATGCAACATTTTTTGTAGCTCTCTAGATATTTAGGCCCTAGGCTCGAACTCTGCCAATAATTTGCCTTAACTAAAGAAACAAACACCAAATACACCAAATTTGTTAAGATTATATATACACAGAACGTTTTTAACCCTATATATATAGATATATAGATATAGATATATACCGTATACAAACAGTTTTTAGCCGTTATTTGTTATATATAGAGATGAATATTTGAATATATTGAGATTCGTAGTAGTCGCGTTTTTGGAAGCTACTTTTTAAACAGATTTATATAGTTGTAGGGAGTGAGGCTCTCGTGTTAGTCGTTTTCCATTTTGTGTTTTAGTTTTCGCTCTTAACTTATCGGTTCCGTACAATTTCTTGTACAAAAACGTGCTGAACGGGTATCCGTGCCGCCGTTTCAACACCACAAACGTGCCTCAGCTCGATGAGCAGCAGTTGCCGCCGCATTAAGTGGTGTCAGTCGGGCCCTCCGATCGTCGTGCGCTGCCCGTCGTAGTCAACGATTTTTAAAATCCCTTCACACCCGTGCCAAAAAAAAAAAAAAAAACAGCTATATTTTGAAAAATATAAATCAAACAACACACACACTCACACACAACACAACACAATACACGAGTCCTGAGTGCCTTTCGAAAAAACCGAAAAGGAAAAAAAAGAACATAAAATATTACGTAATTTTAAACGAAATTCCTTTAATGAGCTTCAAAATGTGCACGACGAGTAAGTAGAAAATATTCAAATTTAAGGAAACTATACATAAAATATTGAACTATTTTCTTTTTTTCGATTTTTTCTCTTGATTTTACTTTATTTTATTAAAAAAATTAATTTGTCCAAATTTTAATGTATTTTAATAAACATTTTAAAGCCACGTTCCAGCACTAAAGCTGTATGCTACAACACTCTTAATCGCCAGCAAGCACTGTGTATGCAAGCTTAGAGCATTAAGGCTGACTGCTACGGCACGCAGTCATTTTTCGATTTTCAGTAGCCAAGCAAAATGTTTGAGAATTATTTTGCAATTATTCTCTTCTTTAGAAAAATCTATTTTGTATAGATAATAAATTAAATATATATATTTTATAGGGGGAAAAATATATATATAAATAATATATAATATACAAAATTTTCATTAAACGCCATAAATATTAGTAATAAATATTTAGTTTCATTATATTGCTTCATGGCAGCACTTAATAATTCCAAATTGAATCATAAAGAAGAAACACAAATTTGTTATATCCAAAACCCCTATAAACGAGCCAAGACGTAAAATCATAGAGCCTTTTATTGAATTTCAAAACTTTTATCATCAACAAATGAAGAAAGCAACATAACAAGCCCTAGGTTTATGTGTGAATTCCACTAAACAGGCATTCCAAAGTGCACTTGGCTCCGCATTGGGGCAATTAATTAGTGGACCCATAGAAAACTTGGCTGGCCGTAAATTTCATCCATTAGTCGCACAGTAGGACTTCCCCGCAGCGAAAAGTGCTTGCCAATTAGTGTGAGCCAAAGAAGAAGAAGAAGAGTGAGGAACTGAAGTTGGTCAAGTGGCATTTGCATGCGCCAGCTATGAAAATCTGCGGGGAAATCGCAAGTCTTTTGATGCTAGCGCAATTTTATGAGCTGCCATAAAAATGGTTCTGCAATTGAAACCTTAGTAAGCTGTAATTTTAGATGCATTTCTCTTTCCCTTTCTAATATTAGCTATAAATATAGACATATATGTATGTGTATAAATAGCTATCGCCTAGCTGCGTCCCTCTGTTGTTTGTCTTTCAGCTCTATAACATCCCAGTCACATCCTTATACAACGCACTGTCCTTTTATCTGTTTTGCGGCACATTGTTAGTTTTACCCAATCCATCTCTGTCTCTCTCTTTCTCCCTCGCTCTCTCGGTGTGTGTTTATTTTGAGGTTATGTCTCTTTTTGGGGTAGACTTCAGTTAATTGAATTAATGGAGGGTATTGTATTACACATCAAGTACTTCATTCATTCACAAAAAGCTGGCAACGGCGACAAGTGACAAGGGAAATATATATACAACTAGCTCTGTTTATAATACAATATGTGTATAAGTATTTCAATTTTCGGTAACTCTGTTCAAGAGAAGCCAGAAAGTGTTTGGCATATAATTTTTATACACTTTTGTATTAATAGTAAATTCATTTAAATATTATTAATTCATTTATAAATTTATTGTCATCTCAATTCCCATATTAGTAATACATCTACATTTTGCATTAATCTTATATCATATTATTAATATGATCTATCCTCATTTGTAAGCTGAATTATTGCCCTTGCGTAATATTCATATCAGTATTTGTATATTTTCCGATCAAATTAGTTCTTTAAATTAAACCCCATATTATACCTATCTCCCATCATGTCTTTTTTTGATATTCGCAATTTATTTAATCAATCGTTTTTTTTTTGTTCGATTTATCATTATTTGCTTTTATTGCTACAGCTGTCCCTTCCACTTGCAATTCCCTTATCAGCACGTTTCCCTATTTTTTATCTCGAACCCCAAAACAGCAAAATATTTCATGTATCCTGTGGCCAGGCCCTGCGCACGCTCTATTGAAGGTTGCCTTGCCTGGCTGCCTGCCTCCCTCTGCGCAGCGAGCGCGTTTCTCAGTTCGATCAGATTACGCCCTTTGTGGCTTTTTGCAGTTCGCTGCCTTCAGTCGCAGTCGCTGTCGCTGCTGCAGCGCCGCTTAAGCTGCGCAAAACGCTGGCATTTTGCCGGCTGGCGCCACTCGGGCGAGCACTGCACAGAGTCTACAATTGGGAGAGTAACAGCAGAGAGAGAGAGAGAGAGAGCAAACTCTACACGCGCCGCTCTTTTGGGGTTGCTTCAGCTGCTGCACCCTTTGAGTAAACTGAAGCACGCATTGCGCAGGCGGCGCTCTCTCTCTCTCTCTCACTCTCGCTCTCCCTCTGGTTATCTATCTCTTTGTCACCCCAGGCAGACAGCGAAAATGCGCTCGGCAGCGACGTCGACGTCGCAGCATCCCCTAGGCTGGTCCACTTTTGAGGTAACCTTTTTCAGTTACGTGCCAGATTTCGTGGGCAGCAGACGTGCATCCTTCAGCAGAGCTCCACAACAAAACATAGCAGACTCTAGTCAACTCAACATTTTCCATAAAGCCCCGCCATATGGAGCAGTTGACGTTCTGCCAACTGGCCAAAAGTAAAGTTTTGTTTAAACTAGTGTCTGTGTGTGTGCCTCCGATATATACATGTATATATTGTCTCTCTCTGTGTCTGTGTGTGTGTGTGTGTGTCTCTTGTGTACGGCTGACAGCTTTTGCCGGATATTTCAAGTGCTTCCGTATGCCGGGGGATGCGACAACCAAAACATAAGCTGTGCAAAATATCGATTTTTACATAAGAAGAAAAAAGAGCAGAAAAAATAATGAAGAATGCTATATCGTGTACCGGATAGACCAGGCACCAGAGCTGGGGGCGGGGCAGTACGCTGACTGACACACATTGCCCCACAGCAGGATAGAAAATCAATTAGTGGCGGGGCCGTGGGTGTAGCCAGTCGAGCATTAAGTGAATTTAGCTAAAAATCCAGGCATTAATGTCGCATAAAATGGCGCAGCCGACGTCGCTGCTGGCGTTGGCGTCGCCGCAGACGTCGCTGCTTGGCATAATGACAGCAGCAGCGCCAGCGCCAGCGACGGCAACGGCAACGGCAACGGCAACGGCGACAGCGGAGGCGGCGGGGCAGGCTGTGTAAGCAAGTCAACCCCCAGCTACAGTGACCAGGCTTTGATTTGAACACTGAAGTGGGCACACATTGTCTATGTGTGTGTGTGTGTGAGAGTGTGTGTATAGAAGATTTTCATCAGCAGCAGCGCAGCGACATTGTCTGCTTTTTGGGTGGTGGCTGGGCCCCCGGTCCTGTGCTGCCTGATTGCTGTCCCGTTCCGGCTATCTCTTTTGCCTTTTTGGGGGTTGGTTTTGGTCTTTGGTTGAAGGTTTTGCTGTTTTCGGTTGCCGTTTCGGTTTTTGGTTCTTGGTTTTTGGTCTTTGCCCCGAACTACGCTATTTATAACACTTGAATGGCCATTTATTTCATAATTTCGTATTGCATCTCTTCATTGCAGTGCCTTTGACAACATTTTCTACTACACCTAATATATTAAGTTTAAGCCAACGATTAAGACTAGAACGTCGACTGAAACGTAGACGACGCAAATATGTCCACTTTGTCGCTGCGCATACAGCTGGAGGGTGGTCGAGTGACGAAGACCATACAATTCCAACCAAATACCACAGTCTTCGATGCATGCAAAATCATACGCGATAAATTTGCCGAAGCAGTGCAGGGACAACGTAAGTAAACGCTCGATAAGGTCTTCAATCAATTGCTTTATATTCATTATCCTTACAGCTAGCGAATATGGACTCTTCATTTCCGATGAGCAGAACCAGCAGGGCGTTTGGCTAGAAGCCGGACGCACATTGGGCTACTATATACTGCATAATCAGGACACGCTCGAGTATCGGCGAAAGCTGCGCACTCTGCGTGTTCGCATGCTGGATGGCGCCGTCAAGACCATACTGGTCGATGACTCTCAGCCCGTTTCCCAATTGATGGTGGTTATTTGCACCAAGATTGGCATTACCAATCATGAGGAGTATGGATTGGTGCGCGAGGACAATGAGGCGCAGAATGAGAATCTGCCCGATAATAAATTTGCCACGCTGACGCTGAAGCGCAAGTTTACCGAAAAGGATCGCGATGCCAAAATGGAAAGTTTGCGCAAGAAGCTGAAAACCGACGATGAAAGTGAGTTGATAGCGCCATCTATCGACTGGCCACTTGACTAATATTGAATTGTTTGTTGTATTTTCAGTGAACTGGGTTGATGTGGGTCGCACACTGCGCGAACAGGGCATCGATGAGTCGGAGACGGTGCTGTTGCGACGTCGTTTCTTCTTCTCGGATCAGAACATCGATTCGCGTGATCCAGTGCAGCTAAATCTGCTCTATGTGCAGGCCAGGGATGCCATTCTCGATGGCACGCATCCTGTTACACAGGATAAAGGTGAGTTGTGCTGGAAAATTGTATGTTTAGCCTTATAAATTCTGATTTGTTGTTCTCTTCATTAGCTTGTGAATTTGCTGGCATTCAGGTGCACATACAATTCGGACCGTACAACGAGGCCAAGCATAAGCCCGGCTTCTTGGAGTAAGTGCAGCGCTTGAATCCTTTCTCTAGTAGTCCTTCATTATGTTCAATTCTTTACCTCCTCTACTCAGCTTGAAGGACTTCCTGCCCCAGTCTTATGTGCGCGTGAAGAACATTGAGAAGAAAATCTTTGCGGAGCATAAGAAACATTACGAACTAACGGAAATCGACGCCAAAGTTCTGTACACCAAGACCGCTCGGGAGTTGCCCACATATGGCGTTACCTTCTTCCTGGTCAAGGAGAAGATGAATGGCAAGAATAAGCTAGTGCCGCGCCTCCTGGGCGTTACCAAAGATTCTGTGCTGCGTCTGGATGAACGCACCAAGGAGATCCTAGTCTCCTGGCCATTGACAACAGTTCGTCGCTGGGGCGCCTCACCGAATACTTTCACTTTGGACTTTGGCGACTATGCGAATCAATACTATTCGGTGCAAACGACCGAAGCCGAGCAGATTGTGCAGCTCATTGCGGGCTATATTGATATCATATTGAAGAAGAAACAGACGAAGGATCACTTTGGCATTGAGGGTGACGAGGGCTCCACCATGGTGGAGGAGTCCGTAGCGCCATCCAAGTGAGTGAGACACATATGAGAGGTGTGAGGGCCTTTGATTGTAATTCTTGTTTTCTATTATTCCAGGGCCACCTTCTTGCAACACGAAACGAATCGCGTAGAGAAGCTGAACTTGGAAAGTTTAGCGCATCCGGGCATTATGCGGCCCTATGACGGTAAGTCCACTGAGTTCCATTTGATATATTTAAGATATTTGCACAAAAGCTTTTGCTTTTTTTTATATATATATACACTGCGCGTCATCAGGTTAGCGCCCCCCTTTACACTCAACCTCAAAGCTAAATAAAATCTAAACCAGCAGAGCTCCATCTTTGAAATTTTTTTACATTATACTCCATTTATTTTTCTTTAAAATACAAAAAGAATGGCTACTGTAACAATAAGGATTATTTTTTAAAATTTTTTTTTGTAAAATGTACAAAAAACATGTAACAAAAATTTGGTCATCAGATTAGCGCCCCCTGCGCTAAATTCAATTTATTTAAGTTAATTACCAAAAATAACACCTGTATTTTAAGCTAGTGTTATTTTTAAGTAATATTAGTAGTGCGTAGTGCCGTTTTTTGTTTGAAATTACTTAAAAAATTCGATTAGGAATGGAATTATAAAGTTGTTCAATATTATTCAAGGATATGGTTGATTAAGCGTGTTCAGTACCTTCGATTAACTCTGTCCTTGTACTATAATGCTTTCCGGACTCATATACTTTCCTGACCAACCATCCCCAGACGTTTCCAATGATATTAAGGTCGAGTGAGTATGGTGGCCACTCCATGAGATCAATTTTTTGGCCCTGAATCCAGGACTTCAGGGATCGGGCGGTCTGAATTGGGGCATTATAATGCTGGAAAATCTAATGCCGGTTTTCAGACAGGTTATAAAAATGCGGAACAGCAGTTTTAAACACGATATTATGGTCCTATGCGTTCATGCGCGATGTCAAAAATTGAAGCTTGCAAGTGCTGTAGTAAGATATTGATACCTACACAAATGCCACACCACCCCCCCGGCGCAGCGGCTTGGAAACCGTTCCAAATAATGTTCTTCTATGAGTAGGTCATGGATATAATAATTATATCCATCAGTTCCTTCCAAATTCAATTTTTCTCATCAGAAAAGACAACATGCTGCCATTGGGTAGACCACGTCATATTCGCCCGGCCAAAATTAATGCGTATTTCTTTTCTCAGCATATCGACTGGTGTCTTTTTTTTTACATTCTGTTTCTTTAAGTAATTAACTTTCTTAATTGCTCTTTAGACCGTTGATAAGCTCGTCCTAACACTGATTTTAACCCTAATCTTGGTGGTCGATTCGTGGGAATTCGAAGCTTCTCGAACTAATGCTCTTCTATTTCCTTCTGAAATCACTTGATTATTACCGCTTATATAGTTTTTTCCATAGTTTTCCCTATTTGTAAGAAAATTGCCACTTAGTTTCTGTTTTTTCCTGATTTTTCAGCAATTTTATGGTTGCATAGTCTAGATTCAAAGTATGCCTCAATCTTTGATTTTCAACCAAAGATAAAACTGTTTCTTTACCCATACTATAAATATATTGAATACTTTGAGCTTCACAAAAAATTTGGTGAGTGTAATTGCCAAAATAAGCAAGATAATTACAATTGCATTTGGGGGCGCTAATCTGATGACGCAAAATAAGTGCACACATTTTTTGCGAAAATAGAGAAGGATAGAAAATAAAACATAACGGGTTTTCACTCGCGGTTTTTTTTTGGTATGAGAGACATCTCATATGATGATAATGAAAAAAAAAAAAAACCAAGAAGTTGCGTGCAATAGGCAAAGAGAAAAACGTAAAAGAAAATGAGTGTAAGGGGGGGCGCTAACCTGATGACGCGAAGTGTATATATATATATGTAATATATGCTTTAGCTAACTATTCTATAAAACAGACTATCAAGTATTGTTAGTCCGCAAAAAGTTAGTTGAATAAAAAAAAACTTCTATATAGACTATCTGCCTTATTGCTTTTTGCCTTTTAATTTTTGTGTATGCTTCTGATAATTTTTAATTTCTTATTTTTCGTACACTTTTCGTTTCTCTCTATCGATGTGGCTGACAGGTGAACGCACCTTTACGCAGAACGAAATGCAGACCGTGCAGTATGGCGCCTTTGTTGGCCAGGTGAATCATGCGCATCAACCGCCGACGGTAAGTAGACTAGAGAGATATGAATATAGTCAATTTCATCCAACTTTCATTTCCTGCCATTTTGTCTAAGTTGCCATTGCACCTCTTAACTGAATACATAACCTCAAAGCGCCAAACTTTAGACATCTTAACTGAAACTAACTCGAAAATAAATTCTTTCATCTCTTAACATGCTGCAAACCATTTAGAAAACGGTCATGCCAAGTTTCACAAAGTATGTGGCAAAGCCTTCAATTCCAGTTAAATAGACCTTTATCTAACTGATTTTACTTTCGTGTTATCTTTGGTTATTAGACTAAGGAAGTACGCATTAGTTCTGTGAATCTAACCGAGCCGCAGCGTGCGCTTATTGGTTATATATCCGCCGGACAGGATGTCTTAATTCGCGCCGACGAGGAGCTGCGCACCAAGGTGAATTTTGAGTTAAGGAATATTTGGCTAGATCTCGTTACGAATCTCTGAATCCATTTGCAGGCACCCATTCAGGAGCTGGGCAGTGATTTGCGTTCGATTGAGTGGCGTGAGAATACGCTGGACACCTCCAAGCAGGCAGTCAGCTCTCATGTGGCCACAATGAGTGCCGCCACGGCTCAGATTATAACCGCTTCGCAGCCGGATGAAGTGGACACGGAGGCCATTTCCGCATCGGTGTCTCAAATTGCGCAGACCATACCGGAGGTGACCAAGGAGGTGCGTCTGATTGCTGCCCTCATGGAGAACGACACGAATGGCGATCAGCTGCTGGAGGCAGCACGCAATCTGTGCAATGCCTTTAGTGACCTGCTGAAGGCTGCCGAGCCGGAGAGCAAGGAGCCACCACAGCATTTGATAAATGCCGCCACTCGTGTGGGCGAAGCCACCACGCATGTGTTGAGCACCATTGCCGAGGAGGAGGCACCTGAGAATCGGGATCTGCACGATATGCTGGTGGACCTGGGCAAGGCGGTGGCCAATACCACAGCCGCTTTGGTGCTGCGCGCCAAGAACATTGCCGCCAGCTGTGAGGATGATCAGGCGCGCAATCGCGTCATCGCTGCGGCTAGCCAATGTGCACTGGCCACCAGTCAGCTGGTGGCCTGCGCCAAGGTGGTGGCACCCACTCTGCATAATGCGGCCTGTCGCGAGCAATTGGAGGCGGCGGCCCGGAACGTGGCTCGTGCCGTGAACTCGCTCTGCGAGGTCTGCAACGAGGCGAGCACCGATCCCAAGTTGAAGGCGGATCTGATGGATGCGGCACGCGATGTCTCCAAGAGTCTGCTGGATATGCTGGAGCATGTGAAGCTGAGCACGCGGGAGCATGCGCATCGCACCAGCCAGGAGCTGAGTCCCGTCGAGAATGTCATCATTGGCACCGACGTCTTGGTGTCCACCAATGATCCACAGGAAATGGTGCGTCATGCCCGCACTCTGGGCCAGACCACAGCACAGCTCATCCAGAGCATCAAGGGCGAGGCGGATCAGCAAGAGGATGCGGACATGCAGCGACGTTTGCTGTCGGCCGCCAAGCAGTTGGCCGATGCCACAGCCAAGCTGGTTGAGGCCGCCCGTCTGTGCTCCTCCAATCCCCATGACTCGGACAACCAGAATGCGCTGCGTCGTGCCGCTGAGGAGCTGCGTGAGATTACGACCAGCACGGCCAACACGCCGGCCATGAAGCGAGGACTCATTCAGCGCTTGGAGTACCATTCGAAGCTGGCCGCCTCTGCGGCTACCCAGTGCATCTCGGCGGCCCAGAATGCGGTGCAGCACAGCCAGGACCATCAGACCAAGGAGTCGCTGCTGCAGGATTGCAAACGCGTGGCGGATACCATACCACGATTGGTCACATCGGTGAAGACGACGCGTGCTCAGCCAGACGATGCACATGCACAGCTGAATTTGATTGAGGCCGCCGAGCAGTTCATCGAACCAGCTCTCCAGGTGTCCAAATCTTCACGTGCCCTACGACCGACTGTCACGGATATACCATCGGCTACTCAGCTGTCCAAGAGTGCCTTGCACCTGGGCCAGGCTGTCTCGGAGCTGCATTCGGTGGCTCAGCGTGCGCGCGATGCCTGCGGTGGCCAGGAGCTGGAGTCAGCCTTGGAGGCTGTACGCAAGCTGCATCATGTGCTGGACGACACTCGCCAAGCGGCGCTAGCGGGTCAGCTGCGTCCACTGCCCGGCGAGACGGTGGAGAACACAGCCGACGAGCTGCGCAAGTCCGCCAAGAATGTGGGCATTGCCCTTAGCCAGCTGTTGAGCTCGGTGCTGCAGGGACAACGCCAGTATGCAGGCGCTGCTGGCCGTGACACGGCTCTGGCTCTGGGCGAATTCACGAAGAGCGTGCACGGCGTGGCGGCGACTACACAGAATCCGGCCATCATTGACTGCGCCGACGATGTGGTGACCAGCTCTGCACAGCTGATTGAGCAGGCACAGCGCACGCTGAAGGGCGTCTCTGATCCGCAGGCATTGACCCAGGCGGGACGCGATGTCACGGGCGCCTTGTCCCGCACCGTGGACTGCATACCTGGACAACGTGAGGTGGATGCTGCCCTGCGCAACGTGAGTGATCTCAGCGAGATCTTGTCTGTGAGCGAATTCCCACCATCGAATCGACCGTACGCCGAGCTGCAATCGGAGCTGAAGCAGGTCGCCGAGCAGCTGAGCACCGCTGGCGGACAGATTGTCCAATCGTATGCCAGTCCGGCTCTGCTGGCTGACAGCAGTCAACAATTCGCGGCCAACTACAGGGATCTGTTGTCCGTGAGCATGCAAATGGCCGGACAAGCCCAGACGGATGAGCCCGTGCGCTCTCAGATGATCGACAGCCTGCGCAATGTATCGACGCAGTCGTGCTCGCTGCTCTCCACGGCCAAGTCCATTGCCGCCGATCCCGGCCAGCCGAATGCCAAGAATCTGTTGCTTGCCGCCGCACGCAGCGTGACGGAGAGCATCAATCAGCTGGTGGATGCCAGCATTCAGTCCGCTCCGGGGCAGAAGGAATGCGATAATGCCATACGCAACATTGATGCACTGCGTCGGATGCTCGACTATCCGCACGAGCCGATCAATGAGATGGGCTACTTTGATTGCGTGGAGCAGGCGACGGCCAAGTCACGCAACCTGGGCTATGCCATCTCCGAGATGATCAACAACGCCAAGCAGTCGCAGCACGTGGAGTTCAGTCAGTCGGTGAACAATGTGAATGAGTCGATTCAGGGACTGATGGAGAGCTCCTCGCAGGCGGCCTATCTCATCGGTGTCTCGCATCCCAGCAGTGTGGCCGGGCGTCCAGGAATCATTGATCAGGCACAGCTGACGTGGGCCTATCAGGGCATTCGTCAGCATTGTGACATTGTGAGCAGCGCCCAGTCGGGCAAGCCGCAGATGATCTCGGCCCTGACCGTGATTGCCAAGCACACGAGCTACCTGTGCTCCATTTGCCGGCAGGCGAGCATGAACACCAACAATCCGGTGGCCAAGAATGAGTTTATTGTGCTGGCCAAGCAGGTGGCAACGGCCACATCGGATCTGGTGCAGGACATCAAGGCCATTGAGGATAATCCAACGGGCGGCAATCGGGATCGACTTGTTGAACCGCTGCTGGAGGCTGTCAAGGCAGTGCGTCAATATGCCTCCAGTCCAGAGTTTACATCGGTACCAGCGAAAATCTCAGCGGAAGGTCGCAAGGCCCAGGAGCCGGTCATTCAGGCTGGACGCGGTGTCATCGATGGTGTCGTCGAGATGGTCAAGGCCGCCAAATCGCTGGCTTTGACTCCGGATAATCCGCCAGTGTGGCAGCAGCTGTCCATGCACTCCACACCAGTCTCCGAGTCCGTGAAGCGACTCGTTGATAACATCCGGGACAAAGCTCCAGGACAGGCGCAGTGCGAGCAGGTGCTCCACACCTTGGGCACCTGCACACGTGAGCTGGACAGCTGCGCCTTGGCTGCCAATGCTCAGGGCTTGAGCCGCCGTCGGGACAACAATTTGCATGGCTTCAGTGGACAAACAATGAACGCTGCTGCGGAACTCTTGGATAAATTGGAACCGATTCGCGTGGCCGGAAAGAATAATGCGGAGCAACTGGGCCATGCTGTGGGCGAGATCTCGCGCTACGTTGTGCCCATGGTGAATGGCGCCATTGGCGCCTGTACTCACATCGTGCACAGCCAGCAGCAGATGTCGCTGATCAACCAGACCAAGTCGGTGGTGGAGAGCGCCATTACACTGGTGCAATCGGCCAAGGATTCGGCGGGTAATCCGCGCGCCACACACGCTCATCCACGCCTCGATGAGGCCATCGATGGCACACGGGAGGCCATTCAGGAATTGCAGCAGGCTGTGGAGAAGATCAACGCTGAGACGGGCATCGTCACGGGCCTGATGGAGCAGGTGAATCGTGCGATTACCCGACTGACAGACAAGCGCCAGTCGTTGCTGAACGCCTCCTACTCGGACAGCTTTGTCGACTATCAGACGCGCATGGTGGCCACGGCCAAGGAGATCGCGCGCCTGGGCAACGAAATGAATGCCAAGAGCAGTGTGGAGCCAGCCGTTCTGCCCCAGTTGGCTGTCGAAATGACCCAACACTACCAGCTGCTCACCCAGGATTCGGTGGGTGCCAGCACCACGACCACTTCGCCGGATGTGGCGATGCGCATACGCAGCACCGTCATTGATTTGGGCCGTTCCATCAGCTCGATGATTCAATCGTCGGCGGGCGGCGCTAGTCCCAACGATTCCAGTGCCCAGAAGGAGATTGCACGCAATGCTCGCGAGGTGTCCGAGAAGGTGGCCCAAGTCTTGGCCGCACTCCAAGCTGGCTCTCGCGGCACCCAGGCCTGCATCAATGCGGCACACACTGTCTCGGGCATTATCGGAGATCTGGACACCACTATTATGTTTGCTACAGCCGGCACACTGCACTCGGATGGCGATGGCAGCTTTGCCGATCATCGCGAGCATATTCTGCAAACGGCCAAGGCGCTGGTGGAGGACACCAAGGTGTTGGTCACTGGAGCAGCCGGCACTCAGGATCAGCTGGCGAATGCGGCACAGAATGCTGTCTCAACCATAAGTGAGTAGAGACTGAGAAGATTCCTCTAATCGTTACTTACAAATATTATTCTTTATCTTTAGCCCAACTGGCGGAGGCCGTAAAACGCGGTGCCTGCTCCTTGGGCTCCTCACAGCCCGACTCGCAGGTCATGGTCATCAATGCCGTCAAGGATGTGGCCTCGGCTCTAGGAGATTTGATCAATTGCACGAAATTGGCCTCGGGCAAGCCCATACACGATCCGTCGATGCAGGGCCTCAAGGAAAGCGCCAGGGTAAGTCTTTTCTACCTTCCCTTTAGATCTACCCTCTATGTCTTTTCATCTCTCTCTAGTTTTTTTTTTAATACTTTCACTTTGCTGTAAAGCTTTCGTTGTTGTGGCTTTTTTAATAGTGTATAATATTTATAGTGATTATTTATTTTTGGTAATTTTTTTTTTTAAACTGTAACTGACTTTAATGTGGTTATGGCTTGATTAAAAGATTTCGTTAGTAAAGTTTAAAGTTACAAATGTAAAGATTTCTTAAAAAAAAAAATGAAGGTTTAGAAAAAGTTAAATAAAACTAATCAAATGAGAAAATAATTAAAATTGCCTTCAGCTTGTAAACCCTAAACGGTTAGGGTTTGAGCAATTTGAGTAGCACATATCATACTAGTATTCAATTTTATTTTTATTTGTGTATTATCTTTAGTTATTTTATTAAATGAAAGCTCCCCGTACACCCACACAGACATATAAGCATACATAAATGTTGTTTGTGGCATTTAAAGTACAGAAAAGCTACGCAGCTTAGAACCAAATGATATAATTATTAACTCTGGTCTACTTTGCGAGCGTTTACTGTACCACAAGTAAATACTTAACTGGCTTTGGCACTTACATATAAAATACCACAAAAAACTACTTTTAAGAAATACCCTATATAAATGTACTATTTAATACCAATTTGCTGTTGCTGTCGCCGCTGATGTTTCACTGCACCAAACGAGCTTTTGAAGGCAACTCGTCGCGGCTGCTTCCACTCCAACTCAATCTCAATCTCAATCTGAATCACCTGCTGCCCCTGCTGCTGCTGCTGTTGGCTGTCTCTTTTTGTATATCTCTTAAATGTTATTAATTACTTTCAATGTTTAACCACACAAACACACACATACTCTCTCTGTTTCTGTCTCACACACACACACATGGGTACAATTCGCCCCTTCAACAATATGTTTCGCACCATTTTCTCATCCCGGCGTTGTGTCCAGCTCTAACTCCTTGGTCAAAAACATTCAACAAACACCCAGCCCAGCCACCCTTTCTGCCTGCTGCTCTGCATGTATTTGCCGTGCTCTCGCTCTCACTACAATTGTGTCTCTCTTTGTCGATCCACCACCACCGACACCCACTCACCATTCAAACAACCACCCACATTGTAAAAAGCAAACAAAAAACAAAAAATCCATAAAATTTTGTATATTTTCGTTTTCGTTTTATGCTAATTTGTGCGCGTTCGACGTCTCTGCTCTTCTCTCTCTTCCCATACACACACACATATACGCATACACATACACAAAAAAAAAAATACATTAAAAAAAACAAACAATTCCTCATGAACTGTACAAAATACGCAAATCGTTCTCGAAACAAAAATTGCTCTCTTCATGCGCTGCGCTCGCTGTGGAATGTATATAAATATATATACGCCATCTATCGATTTGAACATGCATCTATATTCAAATTCGATTTCTCGCTATCGATATCGAACACACACACAACTACAATGCAGACGCTTCAAGATGTTTGCCAATCAGCTGCCAGCGCCCAAACAGAAACTAACACACACACACGCCCCCCTCAGCAGCCAGCGACGGCAGCAGCAGTAACAGCAGCGACAGCAAACGGAATCATGAGTCATTAAGTGGGCTGCTGGTAGGGGGCGCCACCCACAACAATTTGGAAACTTGAACGAAATTCTTTCTGCAACATTATAAACATTAATCATTGCACAAGCAAAAAGCCAACATTATTCCAAAACATTTAAAACTTTGTAAAACTTGTAGATGCAATTGGAGAGTCACTTGTGGCCAGCATCAATTGATACACATATACATACATATCTCTATATCTGTCTTGTACGTATATGTGAAGTTGTTATGTAGTATATGAACTAGAAAGAACTTTCTAGCCTTTTTAAAAGTCATTATGGTTTAGCTTTACCTTAAAAAAATAAATGGTCATTCATATGAAATCTAATTTTCAGCTTGAATTTTCGAGAAACTCCATTCGTATATCTGCATATCCATTCAAATTTCTTGCTCTCCATAGCATCTGCAGGTTCTTTACCTTTTTTGTCGATTGTTATAGTCCCTTAATAAATAATTGTTGTCTAGAAGGATGTCTGTTTTATATCATGTCTAATTAAATTTATCAAATAAAGTTTTTTATTACTCGTCAAATCAAGCATCAAAAGTAGTTTCTTAGAATATTATTTAGAGTAGTGCCAAAGCCATGTAGAAGTAGTTTTTTAATTTGTAGATCTATTTTGTATTTCGTAGTCTCAAGAGATTATAGCTAAGCTATTTCTACTATATCACAATATTTATCTATAAAACTTAACATTAATCACAAAACATTTCTGCTCCAAAAAAAAAAAAAAAAAAAAAAAAAAACACTTTGTTATTGGCATTTAGGTGATGGTCCTCAATGTTTCCTCGTTGCTAAAGACCGTCAAAGCTGTGGAGGATGAGCACACGCGCGGCACCCGCGCCATGGAAGCCACCGTGGAGGCCATCTCCCAGGAGATGCGCGTAAGTAACATCAGAGGCTGGTAAAAAAAAACTGTCATTAATCCCGAATTTTCTTTATGAATAGGCCATGCAGACACCTCCGCCAGTGGGCAGCGCCCAGGTGGGACCCGAGGACCTGATACGCGTCACCATGAACGTGACTGCGGCCACGGCAAAGGCTGTTGCCGCGGGCACCTCCAATCTGCAGGCGGATATCGTGGCTGCCGCCAATCTGGGTCGTCGTGCCATATCAGACATGTTGATCGTCTGCCGCTCTGTCGCTTGGAACTGTGCCGAGACGGATGAGCTGCGCGTGCGCACCCTGGAGGCGGGCAGCTCCGTGGCCGAGTCCTATCGGGAGCTGTTGAATGGCATTCTGCACAACTGCAGCGCCGACGATCGCATGCATTTGTCGCGTCGCGTGGCCAAGTGTGTCACAGATCTGGTGGCCATGGCTCGTTTGCTGAAGGGCTCCGATTGGATCGATCCAGAGGATCCCACGGTCATAGCTGAGAATGAGCTGCTCGGCGCCGCAGCCTCCATTGATGCAGCTGCCAAGAAGTTGGCATCGCTGCGGCCACGTCGTCAGGCGGATGTTAAGGTGAGTCTCCCATGATCTCTATACGGCGTATAAAGGCATATAACTCTAGTTTTAATGGTGAATGTGCTATGGTGAATTGAAACTAACTGAACTACCGCTCGCTCGTCTCCACAATCAGCTGTCATCTGTTTAACCAGCCACCAAAATCAACCAAACTACCTATCCACTACCTCATCTAACGATTCCAGTGAGATATGTTTGATATTCTTGGTTGTTACATTCAAAAGTTCACCCAGGAATCAAACATATTATTACTGTGATCGCTTAAACTCTACTAAAAACGAAACTAAAACGAAAATACAAATTGAAACCAAAACAAAATTTTAAAAATAACTAAACTAAAACTCAAATGGTGTTTGCTTATCTATAATGCTAATATAACTAGTTTCCAATTTGATGCCAATAAGACTGCATTTCCTGAGCTAACTCATTTCATACCTATTCACAGATCGAGCTGGATGAGAACATGAAGTTCGACGAGATGATTCTGGAGGCTGCCAAGGGCATCATGGGTGCTTCGGCTGCCCTGGTGCGTGCGGCCAATGCGGCGCAGCGTGAGCTGATTGACCAGGGCAAGGTGGCTCGACGTCCACTCACCAGCTCCGACGACGGCCAGTGGTCGGAGGGTCTCATCTCAGCCGCTCGCCTGGTGGCTGCAGCCACGCACAGTTTGGTCGAGGCTGCGCAGAATTTGGTGCGCGGCGTGGGCACGGAGGAGATGCTGATCTCCACGGCCAAGCAGGTGGCTGCCTCGACTGCACAGTTGCTAATTGCCTGCAAAGTCAAATCGAATCCAAATTCGGAGGCGGGTCGCCGTCTGCAGGCTGCGGGCAATGCCGTTATCAAGTCCACGGACAATTTGGTGCACGCTGCACAGCAGGGCCTGGAGGCCGAGGAGGAGCATTCGCTGAAGATCAACACATCGATGGTGGATGGCATGGCGCAGGAGATTAATGCACGCTCCGCTGTGCTGCGCAAGGAGAAAGAGCTGGAGGAGGCGCGCCAGCGCCTCAAGCATGTGCGACAGGCGCAGCGCTATGCCAAGAATACCCAGGGCTTCACCACAGACGAGAGCGACACGGAATATGCCTATGGCACGCTCAACAGGAGCCAGAACAATGTATGAACAGGTTTCCATTTCCGACTTGAACTTAGATTTTAGACTTTAGACTGCACCAATGAATTGGCATTGTTGAGACTCTCACCTGGTGTCGGTGTAGTTGTTGTAGTTGTAACTGAATCTAACCCTAATCTCTCTAACCAACCAAATGTCTCTTTCTCTTGCTAACCCTTAACAGACTCTGGGTCGTGGAGGAGGTGCTTACTATGGCTCGCAGTCGGGCGATCTGCCCAGCTCGCCGAGCTACTACACGGGCTCGGGCGCGGGCAGTCAGCAGAAGCATCATTATAACTATGCCAGCCCGCAGCCCCAGCATTTCCATCATCCGGGCGCCGTGTCGCCGCCGCCATCTAATTATGCGGGCATGGATGATGTCAATGGAGACTTTCCGCCACCGCCGCCGCCGTTGTCGACGACCATTTCTAATATGCAGACCGCGACGTCGACTCACAGTTTTCGCTCTAATCCCAAACTAACAGCCAATGCTGTGCCCCGCCCCTACCCAGGCAGTCCAGTGGGCGGCGCGGGCAGCAATGGCTTCACAACCATATCCGCAAGCACACCCACTAACGCCAACAACTACCAGCAAAGCTTTGAATCGTCCAGCATTAAAACGCAAAACTCATCCACATCGGGCGCGCCCCCAACTGTGCCACCACCGCCACCACAGAAGCCCACCGGCAATCGCAATCTGGAGGCCTGTGTACAGGATCTGCATGACAAGACGTTCGGCCAGGGCGGCGTGGTGGAGATAACTGGCGGCAATGCCTATCCCGGCCAGAACTACGAGGGCTACACATCCAGGTGAGTCCACATTCAGATGTGGAGTGCTTAAATGCTAACCTTTAGCCATGCTCTTCAGCAGATACGAGACGCGCAACTTCGACAAAACAGCCAACACCAGCAGCAACAGCGAATCGGGCCTGGTGAAGCCGCTCGAGTCGAGCTTTTCGCAGATGACGCTCAACACGGACGGCGGCAAGATCAGCATTGTGGATCAGGGCTCCGAGCGGCTCACCTCAATGACGCAGCGCGTCATGGAGCGCAAATCGTTTACAACCACAACAGAATCGAGGTCCGAAACGAAAACGGAGAAGCACAGTTTTCGCCTGGAGTAGATAACCTAAGCTCGATCAGCAGGAGCAGCAGCTGCGATTGAAACTAAACGATAATGTTTGCCAAATGTGCTTTTAACATTTACATACATACTAATAGCAATAATTTAACAATTAATTATAATTAGCCACTAGCGTTAAAATGTCTATATATATGATACACACACAAACACACCAGACACACACACACTACACACATACCCTATATACACACGGTTTGGACTTCTTTTCATAATTTCCATCTATGCGTTTCTTGTGTATATTTGTTGTGCTTATTTATCTGCCATTTATATTGCCAATTGTTTATACACACTCACACACACAGACACACTCTTTCTGAATATCCGTCGAATCTATATTACATACAACTCTATACTAATCATAACTCAACGAAATTACCTTTAATCTGTAACCAGAACGAAATGCAAATTGAGTTCAACGATTTAAGTGTTAGTTCAATGCAATTTATTACTGTGCACCTAAAAACAAACAGCTATATGCTATAAACCATGTAATCGAGTAATCTATATTTAACGCGATTTTAGTTAATTCAAATGTTGTTCACATAACGTTTAGTTCGTAAACCATCTATGTATGTAATAATTGTTCTATGTTCTGCTATAAAAACAAAACAGAGTCTTCTATGCTCTCATCATTTCGTTTTTTGTATATACGAGTACATATGTATATGTGAGCCGTCGTGTATACGTAATTGCATATTTTATAATTGTGTATGTTTTGTAAATTAATAAAAAATAAAAAACAATATTTTAACAATATATGACCGAATGATTTATTGGGATTAGAGTTTGGCCATAAGCGAATTCAACTGCCGTTGAGTTATTTGCATATATCAATATATAGACAATACCTCTATTAAATAAAACAATCCAAATATTTAGCATCAATATTCACAATCCATCAATTATTCCACATAAAATATCTACAATTTTTTTACAACAAATTTCTACAAAATATAAATGCAACAAATAGTCTTTCCGTTAAGATGGTCCTCTAGACAAACCTCCACCAATTACTTGTACTCCTGATTCAATTGACGACCAATCAGCCAACGTCTGATCTCTGAGGTGCCAGCTCCAATCTCATAAAGCTTTGCATCCCGCAAAATTCGTCCAGTTGGATTGTCATTGATGTAGCCATTGCCGCCCAGAATCTGAATGGCTTCCAAGGCCACCTGTGTAGCTTTCTCGGCGCTGTACAGGATGACGCCGGCGCAGTCCTTGCTGCTGCGAATGCCCGCATCGCAGGCTCGGGCCACTGAATACAAATAGCTGCGGCAGGCGCCCAGAGTCGTGTACATATCTGCCATCTTGCCCTGCAGCAGCTGGAACTCGCCAATTAGCTTGCCCATTTGCTTGCGTTGATGGGCATAGTCGAAGGAGACATCGCAGGCGGCCTGCATGAGACCCACTGGTCCGGCAGCTAGAACCAAACGCTCGAAATCCAGACCCGACATCAGGACGTAAACGCCTTTGTTCTCCTGGCCCAGTATGTTCTTTGCCGGCACCTTGAGATCCTGAAAGACGAGCTCGCAGGTGCTGCTGCCACGCATGCCTAGTTTGTCCAGTTTCTGGGCTACACTAAAGCCTTCCCAGCCTGTCTCTATGATGAACGCGGTGATTGCGTGCCTGTCTGGAACACCGCTTGCTCCAGTCTTAGCATACACGATCAGAGTTTCTGCATCTGAGCCATTGGTAATCCAGAATTTGCTGCCGTTTAGTACATAATAGTCGCCTTTACGTTCCGCGCGCAGCTTCATGGAGACGACATCGGAGCCGGCTCCAGGCTCCGACATAGCCAGACCGCCAATATGTTCGCCACTGCACAGCTTGGGCAAATATTTTTCCTTCTGCTCTGGCGTGCCGTTCTTGGTCAACTGATTGATGCATAGATTGGAATGTGCTCCGTAGGAAAGTGCCACGCCTCCAGCAGCTCTGTAAGAAGTGCAAAGTGAACAGTAATGACTGCAGTTCTTAAGTAACATCCTAATCTTAGTTGCCTTGAAATCTCTTCCATAATGATGCAGTGATCCAAATAGGTGCCGCCAGTACCACCATACTCCGGCTCTGCCGTAATGCCTAGGAAACCAAGCTCGCCCATCTTCTTCCAGAATGAGCGTAGATCTCTAATTAAAAGAGGAGTAAGTAAAGTGGACTTTGTAGATCTTCAGCCTGACTCACTTGAAACTATCTAGCTTATCGATCTCCTTGGCATATGGTGCCAATTCCTTTTGAAAGAAATTGAAAGCAATTTCACGCAACTTCTGTTGCTCCTCATTGAGGCCAAACATAGCGTCATTTATGGGGTAATGTGTTAATGTGCGTATCCATGGCGCGGCAGTCTGCAGACGGCGTCCACCACGTTGCAACAACCTTTGGGCCACGAAACGCAAAGCCATTTCAGGGAGAATGTAAAAGAATGTAACAAGTGTTACCTAACCTTTGATCAGCTGTGTGGGGGAGGGCTGCCCACAATAGCGCAACAGGTGGCAACGCTAGCCTGATCGCATTCCCATTTAAAACGAACTATCGATTAGTCAACTATCGAATTTGAATATATTGAACTTGAATTCAATCATATTATAGAAACAGAAAACGAAACCCGCTATTATTTAAATATCATTTCAACTCAATTCAACTTTTCCGTTACTTATCATATACAGCAACCAAGTGGAGAAATGCGCATGTCTCTACAATGGCGAACGTTTCGCTTCGGCAGTGCATTGAGGTTTGCTGCTTTGCCGCACGCCGACCGCATCCTGGCGACGAAAAATGCCGACATCAACAAGAGCAACAACAACAACAATTGGAATGAGGACGCAACGCAGCGATAAACAAAAACAGTGCTACGGGCTCCTGTAATGGGAATTAAAAAAGTAAAATACCCAGACAGACCCATCAAATCAGTCTTGTTGTTGCCGCTCGTACGCGCGGAGTGTGCCCTTGGGTGTAAAAGGATTTTGATTGCTATCAAATCCAGAAATATATCAATATATATGTATATTTGTTATTAGTGCCTCTCTCTCTGTCTGTGTGTTAAATGTGGATGCAAATTGAAGCTGCTGCGTCTTGGAGTGCTTTACAATCAATAAGTGAGATTCAAATACGTATTTGATGGAATATGCATAAAACCATTTTTATACAATTCGGCAGGGCAAATCGATAAATGCCTCTTTAAATGGTTATAGTGTAATGGAATTTAATGAACACATATATACACCCATCCGCGCACGCACGTGTGTGTGCGCTTCGATTAACGCTCTGACCATCCGCACCCCAACCATTGCATGCCTCTGAGCTGCTGCTCCACAACTACTATATCCTGTCAATCAACTCGACTTGGAAGCCGTTTGTATTGTAGGTACCTCTACGACTCCCACTACAGCTGCTCGTTTACAATGACTCTGTCTGTGTAGATGTACTTATGTGTGTGTGTTTGTGTGTTACTTTTTATACTATTTTCGTGTGTCACGTTCCATCGACAGGAACTATTGTTACCCAGTTTTTTGTTGTTGTTGTTGTTGTTGTTAAGCACGCTTTTGTATTTGTTGTTGCCATGTCGCTGTAATTACAGCCTTAACGCCCACTCATACAATCATCCACACGCACCCCATCAAAGGTCAAATATCAATGTTCGCAACTCGATTTATGATAAGCGACCGATAGAGCTGCCATATACTTAATGTTCGATTAATTCTAGTTTTAATGACATTTCGGGCCCAAGCACAAGTTTACATAAAATTGCAATTGGAGCTGGACTGGGGGAGCGGCCTACGGGTCGTATGCGTAATCAGCGCTTAATTATGTGCGGCAAGCCCAGCCAGTTGGCAGTCCAACACTTCGGCTGGCTGGCAGCTAGTGCTCTTTGGGCAGTCACTTAAATGCCGGCTAGCTATAAACAGATCACATCTCACTGTCAGTGCCGTGTGCTGTTGCATTCTTGAGATGTTTCCTTGGCGCGCTGCTTAATGCCAAGTGGAATGAACTTGATGAGCAGCAGCAGCAAGAATATACAACTTGGTCTGCCTACAGCCTGAAGACTGCCGACTGCTGCTACTTGAGCGCATACAAAGGGCATTTGATGAGGCAGGCAATTGAACTCTGTCTGACATGCAAAACATGCAACGCTCAGAACTTGAACTTGTCGAGTGCCATCATAATCAGCAACTAGTGTATAAAAAACTTTTGATGAACTTTTGTTTTAGAAAACATAGCCAAGGGAAGCAGCAGCTATAGAGACAATGTCTGCTGTCTATATATGTCTATGTATATGTATATATATGTAAGCTTTATGTGATAAGCAAATGCAATAGCTCTCCAAAATAAAAACTAAAATAGCGAATTGCGCACACGACTGGGACAACAAAATAAAAGGCAATTATATAGACGGACTAGCTAAGCTAAACACACACATATATACATATTCTTCAATAGGTGTGTGTGTGTCCAAAGAGCGTGTGACCCAGCCAGAGTGACAGTCCAAAAAGTAAAAGCTCTCGTTGCCAGTGTGCCGCCCATTCAGTCACTCAGCCAGCCAGCCAGCCATTTAGCCATTAGTCGCGCTCGGCACGGCAAACGATCGACGACAATCGACGACGGCAGATAGCTAACGACAACGCATGGACGCGACGGTTTACCGTGCGCGATTTTCATTCAATTTTCAACTCGATCGAGTTCTAAATACTCTACAGCAGCAACAACAGCAACAGCTACAACACAAAACGAAAAACCTTTAAGCAAACGACACCGGGTGCCCCGCCGAAGGCCGGTTTCCAAATATAGTTGACGACGAGCAGCCGCGGCAGCGACAACAATTGCCTGATAAAACTATACCAAAAAAAGTCAGTAAAGAAAAGAAAATATTAAAAAAATATATTTTATATTAAAACTCGTGCAAGTTAGACATAAAAAGGTTAAAAAAACAAAAATACGAAAACCCATAAAGTTTTTTTTATGAAATGGAAAATCTTTGCCGAAACGAAAGTAAAAAGTGCCACAAGTGTTTATTTGCCTGTGTGTATGTGTGTGTGAGTGAGTGTGACAAAAATTAAATCACCGCATTAAAAATAACTTGAGAAAATCTTAATTTTCAATACATATATAAATATCTATATATGCAGATATAAG